AGGAGAAAAATAAAAAACTCTCTTCCTTCGGTTTTCTAAATGTGTTATAAATACATACTTAACAGTGTACGTCCTATTCTAGCGGGGGGTTGACAGGATAGAATATTTTGAAAAAATTATGTAACTTCCACCAATTCCTTATGGGTTTGGGGGTTGTTTTTTGTTTTTCAAATGCAGAGACCTGCAGTATTTGAGAGCAAAGGTTCAGAATGTTCTAACCATATCGAAGTCAGGCTGTAGAAAAATTCCACCCTTACCTTTTCACAATTAGAAAGGTTATAAATAATGTATTTGGCTGAAAAGGAAGCTCAGCCTGTGGCAGATGGTATCATTCTAGAGAACCAGGGTTTCTGTGAAGATGGCATTCTTTCAGATCGGAACTCGAGCAGACTCTCAGAAAGAGCCGGAGCTCCTCATAGGGCGCAGACATGTGCTTTATGGATCTTAGAAAAGCTTACAACTTGGCTCCTAGGATGAGAATATTGTGTCACACTGGGGTTAGGAGACCCACAGCCAATTTCTGCCGACTTCCAAACTGTATTTCCTGACGCTGGAAGCTGGGGCCTCTTCCTTGGTTTGTGTTCCTGGGTAGCGTTTGAACTTGGGATTTAAACCGAAGGAGTTTTATCAGCCTGGTTATTTTAGTCCCTGAACGTGGATGCTTTCCACAGACTGGCCACCAAATAAGAAGACTTGCCAGGCAAGCCGTGCCCTTTTCCCAGTGCTTTGGAGAAGCTCGTATAAATAGACACCCAGAGATCTGGGAGAACACGAGCACGGAGCTCAGTGACTTCCAAGACATCTGTGAGGAAGCAGCTTCAAAAACCTGGAAGGGAACTCTTGCAAATTTAAGAACAAAGGTTCTTCAAACTCTTTGAGTTTGAGCTTGACAGCTAAAACTGATGGATCGAAAAGATTCCCTGTGACAATTAATCTAACATTACCTTTGACTTTTAAGAAAACAAGAGAAGAGGACTTTCTGGTAGCCTGCAGTAATGACTTATTTCAGTGACCTTTTATCCATCACCAGCCCTGTGATAGGTCCAGGCTATATGGAGATAAGCCCCAAGGCTCACCCACCTAGTAGGAAATAAATAGCGTGATGGGTGCCATAGAGGTTCTATGTACGGGATGTTTGGGCTGTCAGAAAGAGCCTTGCAGGAGTCCGCACTGAAATTGTATCCTAGGTGAGCAGCTGTTAGCTAGAGATGGAAGAGGGCATGGATCAAACAAGTCAGAGGAGTGGTGTGTATCTTCCTGATGTCAGCTACCACCTGGTACCTACTGGCCAGCTTTGGAAGATAGCACCAAATTGGAATATTGAAACAAATGGAAATGCTCTTTTTCATTGATGTTTTCTCCCTTGTTATCCTTTGACCCGACTTGTCATTGAATCATTTAATTTGTATTCTCTTTGTTCTTTCATAAGAAAATTTCTTTGACTTAAAATACATCATTTGAAAATGGTATCTAAGACTCATATGTTATTTAAAGCATAATCTTTCGACTGATCTGAAATGTGATCACATAATAAAAGCCAATGAAGAGGGAGGCAGAGGGTTGTCATAGTAATTAACTTCTCTTAAGTCCATACTCCGTATGTTCCAGGCTCTGTGCTAATTGTATCACATTCATTGTTTTATTTATTGTCAGTCCAAGTGGAGATAGTATGTCTCTTCAAGTCATTATTTTTCTAGTGACTTGGTCAGTTCTAGGCACATAGCAGGAGTTCCATAGATAGTTGCTGGATGAATGAAAAAAAGAAAATGCCCATATGAATAGGTTCTCAGAACAGCCCCTAGAGGTGACTGCTGCTGACATTCCCATTTAGTACTGGGAATTGTCGTAGTGGTCAGTTAATCTGACCGAGGTCACACTACCAGTGTGTGATACATCTTGGACTTGAATGCAGGTTTAGCTCATTCTGCTTCATCAAATGAACATTTAGTGTGTATTTAATACATGCCAGGCATTTGGGCTGGAAAGGAATACAGAGCCCCAGACCTGCATGGACTCATAGCTTAGTGAGTAATCTTTTTAGTTAGTGATCTTTTTAAACTACATCCTTTTGATTGACAGAAGAATCCCAAGCCTCTTTCTCAGAAACATGGATCTTCGTTTACCTACCCCCTATCCATCCTCAGCCCGTAGGAAAGTATTATCAATCTTGACTTTCTCTTCTTTGTATTATCAAAGCAAGAGGTGTTTCTTTATGATTTTCCAAATTTAAGATACAGGACTGAATGTGATCTTTCAAATACCATGTGCCCCACCAAGATTCTGAAATCTCTCTTCCCTGCCTTTAAAACTCATAGACCTAGTTAGGTGCCATGCCTAAGCGTTCAATGGGGATTTTACCGCAGGGAAAAAAAATGTCTCATTCAGTGGCTGGCTGAGCAGTTTAGTTGGACATATCACTGCATATTGTTCCAGTAAAAATAGAGGTGACCCCAAGTTACCTGAATTATGGACTGTTTCCCGGCCCCCTAAAAGCACAGAAAGATAGAGAATCTAGAAAGTTGCTTTGGCATGCGTCATAACCTGTGGATTAGCCTTTTGACTTATGTCTCACTTTGGCTAATATTTACGTTATTCAGAGTTTCCCTAAGCCCGCACCACTTGACAGAGTAGAAAGCATCCAGAAAGTCACTTAAGGACAGAGCCTACCAATTTAGGGTTAAACGAGGGCAGGGGGAAGCTTTGATGAACACGCACATATGGATATTATTTTCCACATATGGGTAATAATGAACTACATAGCACTGTTACATATGGGCTCTAGTTTTATAAAAATATTTCAGATGTTTTTTTTTCTTTTTCCCACACATTGTATATTTTTCTTCCTCCCCCACCCCCATATATTTTCCACTCTTGCTCTACTGAATCACATTAAATTGAAATGATCTGTTTACATGTCTCTTCCTAATAGACGGTAAACTTCTTGTAGGCAGAGGCTGTATCTTATCTGCCCTTGTATCCCTAGTACCAGCCAGGGACGTAGTAGGTGCACAGCAAAGAGCAGATCTCATAGATGGAACCATTGGCAAAGTCAGGTAGCCTGGACATTTGTCAAAAACCTCAGCAAAATTTTGATATTTCAGACTTTTCTGAAAACTAAGACATAAGCTACATCTAAAATTTACATGTACTATTATGTTAACATTTAAGAATCTGCCAGCATGTCTAAGTTGAAGAGTAATAATTTTTCAAAAATTGGACCAAAGTAGAATAACATGGGCTCTCACCCATTTGCAGAATCACAGTGATCCATCGGCCATCTCAGTAGTTTTGTTAGTGTCTGACTTTATCGATCCATCATTAATAGAGTAAGTGTGATTGAAGCTGACGGATTGTTAACTGGATCAGGTAATCTTCTGGGTCTGGTTTTGGCAACCTTGCTAAGTATCTTTTTGTACCTTGGACTGAGGGACTCTCTTAGTCTGGATTAATGGCAGAGTATCATGAGCACATTAAGAATGTCTCTTTAGAGAAATGTAAAAACGACTATCCAGTAGAAAGTGTCAAAAAAAAAAAAAAAAAAAAAAAGATATAGTGCCTCTTAGGAAAGATAGCCATGTTTTACATCAATAATGTAACTCCAGCTTATCCTTCACTGGAAGTTCTTCAAAGATCCCCAAGGTTTATGTATTACAGGAATGTGTGCATGCTACAAAATTAACACTGATGACGGATGTCAGGAGAATCAATGATAATCAAAAGAGCTCTACATTAGAAGTAGCTTAAAGAAGGTAACGACGTAAAAATACTTTTGTCCCCAAACTGGCTTTTCTGGTTGTTCCCCGCCTTCTGTAAACCGTTTCACCACAGACCACCTGAAGTCTGAAATGTAAGTTCTCATGTTTCTACACATAGGAATGGAGGGCAGATTGGCTCTGCAAAGTCTAATTATTCCAATGGGAAATTAATTTAGCCACTACTAGAGAATATGAGTGTTGTGGCTGGAAATAACCATGATCAAGTCACTGAAATGATCAGAACCAAAATTTCCTGGGAAGAAAATACTTTCCTTTGTTGAAAATGAGTTAAAAAAAAAAGACAAAACTAATATTACATCAAAATCATTGTCTTTCTTCATTTTTCTATGTTAAACTGTTGACTCCATTTTCCAAGCTTTTGTTATTAGAAGCAGGATGAAGACAAGTGACAAAATAGGGCGTTTTCTTTTTTGTGGTATCCTTGAGAGATGAGTCAGCATGAAATGCATATTTTTAAAAATGATATGGTTAGTTTGAAATTCAAAACCCAAGCTTTACTATATATGAAGCTAGCAATAAGATTGCAGCATACTTTTTTCTTCTGTTAGAGGATCTTTGTGAATAGTTTTTCTCTTCTTAAATGTGGTCAGTCAGCCTTGCAACAGTGTTAATTTACCTCCAAGTGAAACCCAAATACTATGAGTGGAAAGTGGAAGGGGTGTTTCCCAAACTTTAGTGGGCACGCAAATCCCTGGGGATCTGATTAAAATGCAGGTGCTTCTTGACCAGGTCTGGAGTAGGGCCCAATATTCTGCATTTCTAATAAGCTTCCAGATGATGCTGATATTATGGTCCCTGGGCCATCCTGGGAGTTGCAAGGATGGAGAATTTAGTCACCAAACCACAAAGTGGCATTTATTTATGAATTACAATCAGAAAGCCATCTCCAAGTATTTGGATTTATTGGGATCGGTGGAAGTTTGAAGTTTGTCCACCCAGGAACAGATGACATTGGTGGAGGTCCCATACATACTAGAGCAAAGTCTGTGGGTGTGATCATTTTATACCAGTCTCAGTGGACTGTTGCTTTCTACTTAAATAAAGCATTTGATGCTCTACTCATTGACTTTGAAGAAGTCATGGCTTTAGGCTACAGTGTGAAACAAAAATGTATTGGTACTCAGTTGATGAAAAAAAGTTACAGTTTTCACAATTGAAATCATGTCTGTGTTCTGTCTTGTGCCGCTGTGTATTACAACTTTTTCCATCCCCCTCTTCATGCAGAGTATGATTTCTTCCATTGTGAACAGCACTTACTATGCAAATGTCTCAGCAGCAAAATGTCAAGAATTTGGAAGGTGGTACAAACATTTCAAGAAGACAAAAGATATGATGGGTAAGCAGAAAACCGTTGCAGCGGTGGCTACATACCATTACGTGTCATTTGGGGGTTTATCCAAGTTGCATGTAAAGCCAGGTCTTGTGATTGCCCAATTAGAGATCAATTTAGAATGTTTCTTGGAGGGTGGGGAGTGGGTCTGAGTATAATGAGATAATTAAATTCAATAAATGTTTGTGTTTAAATCAGCCCAACTGACTTGGTTGTCAGACATGCAGGAGATGGAGGCGAGGCGGGGTGCAGGGGGGAGCTGTCATTTTTTAACATCTCAGTGAAGACCTAACCAGGCCTTGAATAACTAATATTGGCTGTGGGTTCTCTCAGAGATAAATCATGCTTTTATGTTTTTTTGAGTTTTCTTTGAGAGAAAGGGAAAGTGCCAATTTTTACACCCAATTTTTGAGGATATTCAATTGTATTTGTAGTCTCCACAGTTGAGATCAAGTGATATTTACAGCTATAGTCTCCAGCCCCCGCAGATAGGCACTTTGGTGAGCATACTGCTTTACCATCCGTAACCAAAGAACCATTGCATCATTTCTAGACTCTCAATGCCATGGCATCCTATCTTAACATGTAACTTTAGGTCAATATTTGTTACTCAGGAAATACATTAAAATTATCTGCAGTGTGAAGTGACAGATAAAAGTTGTGTGTTGTACCCTAGCATTTACATTATGTCATTTCTCCCTGTTGAGTTTGTTAGTGTTCGTTAAAGCAAACACTGTGATTAAGGTTAATGTTTTAATTTCTATTAAGGTTTTCTTTCTTGTACCTACCAAATAAAATGTTTTAAAATAATATAGGAATGGGATGTTTAATATGCATAGCATTACGTTGTATTTTAAGTCTATTTCTGTTTACTTCCATTACATTCATTTAGTAAAACAATAATAACTTCTCCTGAAGATTTTAAGAGGCAAGAGAACCTGAATTTTGAGCCTGTTTTAGCTTTTAATATTTGAAGCAAAACCATCCATCTACCAAAACAGATTCTTTGCCATTTATAGCTTAGAGCTGTAATGAAGACAATGCATCATTTTTTGGAATAATTGCTTGAATTACTATTCCCTATGAATGGCCCACTTGGGCTGATATCACTGGTAGAAATGGAAGGTTTCTTCCCCAATGCTTAGTTATATTTTGCATATATCAGTGACTATAGCAATATGATAAGTTCCTCTAAATATAAAGCCTGAATATTTAATAAAAAGAGAAATGATGATTAAAATCAACCCAGAGTCCACACATGGGAAGCATGGTGTACTATTTATTTATTTATTGGCCGCACCGCACGGCTTGTGGGATCTTAGTTCCCCAACCAGGGATCAAACCCGGACCCCACAGCAGTGAAAGTGCGGAGTCTTAACCACTCGACTGCCAGGGAATTCCCATGGTGTACTATTTAGAAAGGCTCACCTACTGACCATCCTCAGCCTTTCAGGTCAAGAGCGTCCAAGCAGTCTCTTCCTTGTAGCAGGAAAGCAGTTGACACACTATTCACTCTCAGCCAGTCAATGTGAGGGATCTAGCCAAGGGAGAAACATTCGTCCTTTGTGGGTGGTAATAAATTGCAAGATGGTGACAGTATCACCATTGCATCAGAGTGACTCCATACCCCTTCCTTGAAAGATTGTCATAGCATCTGGTGATGGTCACAGCTTCTTCAAGAAGCATTTGGGTCTTAGCAACACTGGGGATGCTGGCTTGCAATACATTAAGTCCTTTGCTTCATTCAAAGAAATATTTGCAGCTATACTCATCATCTAGCATGATAGTTAGAATTCAGCAAAACAGGACGTATAAGATACCCAACCCAGTGTTCAGCATGCACTTAGTTATCATTACTGATCATTGTGACCACTTTTAATATTTATTATATTGATTACTTTTTTATATTAATGGTTAGGTTAAAATTGAACATAAGTAACATTTGTGTACTCTTTTTTTTCTTGCAAACTTTTTGCCTAGAGTAGCAACCGTTAATGTGTATATTATGAGAAAATACATATTTCTTTTTTCTACAGTTGCATATGATCTTTTCTGAGCCCCACTCACTCTTTCTAGTTGCTGTTAAGCAAATAGTGTTCTTCTAGAAGCTATTTGGTTTTTTTGGGGCCGCATGCAGCACGTGGCTTGCAGGATCTTAGGTCCCCAACCAGGGATCGAACCCAGGTCCTCAGCAGTGAAGATGCCAAGTCCTAACCACTGGACTGCCGGGGAATTCCCTAGAAGCTATTTTAAAATAAATGTTGCCTTATAAGAAGTAAGAGTGAATAATCGTTTGACCCCCAGACTAGTCACATAGACTTTGAAAATAATTGATTTCTGGCCTTAAATCTAAACCACATTATAAAACTAGAAAACGTTATCCCCCTTTCAAAGTTTGTGCCATGGTGCAGAGGACAAAAGTAAAAGCATAGCCAGTTGCATTCCATCTTGAGATGTTCTTAGTTTCCTTGGACCTTGGGTGTGCCCTGTGCCTTCTGTCTGTGTTAGGGAATGACCAGAGATCCTTATCAATGCAGATCATTGTTGGCTCAATGTGATTTTCCTTCTTGTCCACTTCAGTTGAAATGGATAGTCTCTCTGAACTATCCCAGCAAGGTGCCAACCACGTCAACTTTGGCCAGCAACCGGTCCCAGGGAACACCGCGGAGCAGCCCCCATCCCCCGCGCAGCTCTCCCATGGCAGCCAGCCCTCTGTCCGGACCCCTCTTCCCAACCTGCACCCTGGGCTCGTGTCAACGCCCATCAGTCCTCAGTTGGTCAACCAGCAGCTGGTGATGGCTCAGCTGCTG